AAACTGCATAAATTCTTTTTTAGCAGAGAACTGACTTTTAAGATAGAAAAATAAAAGGAAAGAGAAAAAGAATTGCAACTGTGGTGAGGCAACTGTACTGTAGACAGGCATTATATTGCCTCCGTAGTATCAGAATGACACTATAACAGTGTTTCTCAACCTCAGCAAGATGCGTAGACTACAACTCCCAGAATTCCCCAGCCAGCTGTTTCCCAGATGTCACCTACCCTCCCGTAGGCACCCATGTCCTGATGTCATGCCCGCAGGCACTAGGCCAGGAAGTCAGATCAGCCTGTTGTAGGTTATGAATTAGGGTCTGGTTCTCAGCAGAGACTATTATTATGTTTTACTATTTGTCCATTTTTCTTTTCAGAGGTCGTTATCTCCTTTCATTCTTGCGAGCCAGCCTGAGCGAGTAGCCATATAAATGGATGAAATAAATAAATAAATAAATAAATCCCAAGCATCCAACATGTCGATCAGGCCTGATTCACACAACCAGCAACAATCCACACATAATGGGAGAATGAACAGGTTCTGATCCTGGTTAGGGTTAAAGTCTGAGGAGTAGGGCAGGTACTTGGCCCACCTTCACTTCCCAATAGAGCTACCATTAAAACTTGCTTGCTGCTAACCATGATTGTGGAATCTCAGTCTGGCCTGGTCATACTGTACATGCAAGCTGAGTCATCCCCAGGGGTGGTCAAAAAGGTCAGGAGAGCAGTCATGAACATCTGATCGAAGCCCTGTCCCTTTTTATGTGTTTCACATGAATGTGAAAAGAGACAGGGCTTCGACTGTGTGGTCATGACTGCCATCTTGGCTTTTTTGGACCCCCCCGCCCCCACCATATGGATGCTCCAGCCCTTCTTCCTGCATATTTCCTGGAGGGACCGAAGCAACTCAGAAGCCCATCACTCCAACGAGGTCCTTTTTGGGCCGAGTAGCCTTGAAAGCTGCTTGGCCAAACTTCTTAGCAAGCTGTCCAAACGGTGAGGAGTCTCTTTCTTCCCCTTCTCAAAGAGCCTCCGTGAATTATAGGGTACAGTCAATTAACTTGAATATTAATTATCTGTAATGAATGTACCCTTCCTGAGGGCTTGAAAAGAAGCAAATTACTTGGAGAGGGACTAATTAAGATGATGTAATCTTGACCACAAAGAATAATTCCTTCCCAGTGACAAAGATGATCTAATTGAAGTCTCTCATTAATTAACTTCTCATGAAATTGACTTGGGGGGGATGCGCTGAACCCAGGACCAGCCAGGCATCGTACCCCACCCTCATAATTCCCTCCCAGGCCCTCTTGCTGATAATATAATTAGCTTCTGGAAGCAAGCCGGGCTCAGAAGGATTCTGTGTGCCTAAACCCCAATGTAAAAAGCTGAAAAGAGGCGGTCTTGGTTTCTAAAACCGATGAAAACTTTGAAGCTGGTGGAAGAGGATGCCTGCGATTAACTTGGTTCACCCGTTCTGCCAAGCTATTGGGTGCTGAACCATGGTTGTTGAGTAAACAATGACTTATGGATGGGTTTCCACAAGGCAGTGAGCCATAAATCAATACTTCAGATCTGTGTCTTTCAAACTTGGCAACTTTAGGATGTGTGGACTTCAACTCCCAGAATTCCCCAGCCAGCATGCTGGCCATTGAAGTCTACATATCTTAGAGTTGCCAAGTATGAAGTCTAAACGGGCTCGAGCAGGGCTCAAGAACAGGATGGAATTTAACAGGGAAAATGTAAAGTTCTGCACCTGAGTAGGAAAAATGAAAGGCACAAGTATATTATGGCAGAAATCTGGCTTGTTAGTAGGACATGTGAAAAGGATCTTGAGGTCCTCGTAGACCCCAAATTAAACATGAGCCAGCACTGTGATGCACAAGCCAAATCGGCAACTGTATTTGGAGGCTGTATTAGCAAGAACATAGAACCCTGACTTACTCTGCTCTGCACTGGTCAGATCTCACTTGGAGTGATATTCAATTGTGGGCACCATAGTTCAAAAAGGACAGTGCCAATTGGAGCAAGTTCAGAGAAGGACCACCGACATGGTGAGGAGTCTGCAAGCCAAGCTCTATGAGGAATGATTAAAAGATCTGGGTATCTTTAGCCTACAGAAGAGATACTGATGGGAGATATGATAGTAGGTGTCACACAGAAGAAAGAGCAGGACCAGGGATAAAACTATGGGATAAAACCACCAGGTAGTAGGTTCAAGCTAGTCATCAGAAGGAATGACTATATGAGCTTTTGGCCAATGGATCTTGCTAGGGAGACATCTGTCAGCGATGTTCAAGGAGATCTTGCCTGAAGTGGGTGGTTGGAGTAGATTATCTCTGTGGTCACCTCCAACTCCAGAATTCTACGATTCTGTAAAAATATGGGTAGCTAGTTTGTGAAAACATAGCTGATGGCTCATCCTCCTAAAAAGGGCTGGACCCAAGTTGGAGGGTGGAGTTTAAAGGATGGCCTCCTGGCTCTGAAAAGACGGAAGATGGAAGACTTGTGCTTTGTTTCACAGGAAGTATCTAGCTAAATCCTACTAATCTACTCCAGCAATGATTCTTGGAGGCAGAGAGCTTTCTAGACTGAGATGTGTCCCAATCTATAGTAAAAGAAAAAAAAAAAAAGATGGCACCCATGAGAGTGTGATTGAAGCTCCTCCCATTTTTGATATGTGTTGCAGATTGTACGGCTAGGGCCACCATCTTGATTTTTTTTTTTTACCTTACCTGCAACCCCACCCCCAGTTGCCAGATTCTCAGCTGAGCAATACCACTACGTATACTTTTAACACTAATTTTTCAGATAATGATCCACAAACATTTTGATGGGACAAAGAGAAATGATATCACCTATTAATGATTGCCTCTACAGTTGAAAACACGCCTGCAAAGTTGTCTTGCATTTGCCATGATCCTGAGGTTAGCCATGGGTCCATGCTCCATGAGGACCCCCATTCCGCTCATGTCCCACCTCCATTTGTATGTCCCATCTGAGAACTTCCAGATCTAGCTGCAGAAATGCTTCCGTCTGGAGTTCAAAACAGTTGCTTTTTCTAATGAAAGTGGCCAGTCTCACTGCTTTTGATTCTACCGAAATGCTTACCCTTTATAAGACCCAATTTACAGATGCATTAGATTCTACAGACTTGGGATTACTTTCCAATCTTACTATGTAGCTTTGGGGTTGCATACCTCAACAAAAAGAACATGATTTTACAGGCCGTTTGGCCCTTAACATCTTTAACAGAACAGGGCAGCAACCATGCGTGGATTCCTGGAATCTAATATATAAAAGAGCAATATTGTTATTATTTTAATGCTCTTTTTTCTTCCCCTTTTAAAGATAACTTGGTGTGCTTTGGAACCAAGGTCCTTACACAGCAGATTTGGAGATGTGTCCTTTAAGTGATTGATCAGCAGTTCCTCAGGATAAAGAAAACAGAGAGATAAAAGAGATTTACAGAAAACCGTTTCTCCAGCAGAAGGATCTGGAGGTATAGTCTGAAACCAGAACCTGGGCCGCACGGAGTCTACAGGGTGACTTTGTACCAATTTCTTCCAGGAAACAGAAGAAATCAGGTCGGTTAAGCTTTCAAACAGGTTCAGCACCTCATCCCTCCCAACAGCGTAGGGGGGTAAAATAGAAATCTCCCCAATGAAAAAAAGAGAAAGTTCTGCCCTGCAGACTTGCATGATGTAGTGACATTGCTGACCCACTCTAAATTCCTACTTTAAAAGCCTCCTCTTCCCACCTACCATCGCGTCGCTGCTAAAACATTGCTGATCTGGGCTCTTCCCCATCCCTCGAGCGAAATGTGGCGTGCTACCCAAATGGTGAAGTTAATCAAGGTGACAAATACACATATCCCACCAACTTGGGCATTCAACCTATGACTGATGGTCTCAGCTCTATGCGTTCCCCATCCTACACAAATGCTGGGATGCGTATGGTTTTCCCTACCGACGCAATATTTTTTATTTGTTTATGCTAAAGCTTTTATCAAGGATGGTTATTTAATTGACTTTATCTACTGCAGCTAGAACTGCTTAAATACCATCTAGCCTTGGAATGCTAATTACATTTCAGGCCACCACCAAACCCGCCATAACTAACATTTATTGGGCAATGAAATGTGGCACAGTTAATAATTACAGATTCCTGCAGATAATAAAATCTGAAGCCTTGAAAGGAGGATGGCTGACTTAGTGTGTATATGGCATTTTGCAAAGCTGTAGCTTCGCTAACTGGGACTTGACAGTGACTTTATCTGGAGGTTGTCATGCTCTGGGTTCAGAATTTTTTGTAAATTGGAACTTGAAAGGAGAGGGGAAGGATCAATAGGCGTAGAGTTTCTAAATCACAGGAAGCCATTCAGTGCTGCACAGTTTAAATTTAGCACAAGTATTGTCCCCAGGGTGGGGTACCGTATCTTACCAAAAAAAACCCAGATAAAGTAAAACAAGGCAGAGGCACCCATGAAGGGTGGCCAAAAAAGTCAAGGGAATGGTCACCGTTGTGCAGTTGAAGCCACAGGCCTTCTTATGTGTGTTGATGGACATTAGAAGGGGGCGAGGCTTCCATTGTGCCATCGTGACCACCATCTTGATTATATTTTTTGGTACAATCTCCCTGCCCCTTAGATGCCTCTTGGACAAGAGCAAAGAAAGTCCAACAGAGAGATGGAAGGACCTGGGAATGTTTCGTGTTGAGAACAGAGAAATGAGGGAGATCACAATAGCATTCTGAAGTCATGATGTAATAGGCCATCACACCATGTTAGCCCTCCGAGGTAGACCAGACAAGGAAACCAAAGTTATGAATGCTAATACTATTTTCATTACAGAGCTACAGTAACAGAATCTGCAAGTCTGAATGTGTTTCCCCACTCCCTGCCTTTACATTCAAGACAACTAGGGAGGGTTAAGTCTGAGATGCTTTTTCAAATTACATTCCTGCTTTGGGCTCAGATTTCTCTTATCTGACCATTGCCTTGGCTGTGGCTCTTCCTCCTGTTCCTCAAGGTTATTCTCACAACCCATTGCACACCACTGCAACGCCGTCGTACATATCTCCATGATGTTGCAGAAATGGATGAATAGGGTGGAGCTCCAGAGGACAATGATGTCTCACTTGCCTGGAAAGCAGACAAAACTGTGAGTGAACTGGGGGTGAAAATTACCTGATTATTTTGGCTTCTTTTTCTATCCCCCCATCTAGCATATAAACTGGGCATTCCTTATGTTCTCTCATCCAACTCCAGACCAGGTCTGAGATCGTGAAGATGTTGCTACCATCCAAGGAGGTTAAGGAGATCATACTTACCAAGTACAAAGGAGGCTAAGGAGAGAATATAGTGCTATTAAAATCAAAGCAAGACCCATTTTTCTTCGGGCTTCTTTCTTCCCTACTTGGCACCCTTCAAAGATTGGGACATCGTGTCCCGTAATTTCGAGGAAACCGGGCCTGATGGGAATTGACCGAACAACCTGGAGGGCACCAGGTTGCTGAAGGCTGTTCTAGGCCTTTGCTAGCTTAACATACTGTACTGTTAACATTAACTTTCTGTGTATATTGCCTTATAGATAGAGAATCAATAGAGGGACTGAAATATGGTTTTGTTAAATTCTCTAGGGGGCTCTATGCATTTAGCTTTTGCACTATTTTCAGAAAATAAACATCAATATAAAAATAATGAGCCTCATAAAATAGAACCTTGGCCCAGGCAGCTGAGTTGGCTTTTAAGAAACAAGCAGAGATTTATATGGGAGGCATCAGGTTAGCATAACAGTGGGTGTCCTTCAAAGGGAGGTCATTTGAAGCAAAAATGGAAACTCTCAGTCCTTCTGGGCAAAAAATTCAAAATGGCTGCTCCGTGGTACAGTAGTCACTTTGTTGAAGTGTGTTGGATCTATGCTGAGGGAAATGCCACGAAGGTAAAGGCATTTTACCTACACTTCGATGAAGCCATGGAGGTAGAAGCATCCCAGGGAAGTCAAAAAAGTCAAGATGGCTTCCACCATCACACAATGAAAGCCCAGTCTCTTTCTATGTACATCATAACAGCATGGAATTGGTTAGTCGTTCCCTTCTTTTGGAATATATTTCTTGACTTCCCAGGGCTGTAAGATTTCCTGGAATCTCCTACCTCAATGTTACCAGATCTCCTTAAAATCCAGACAAGGTCAGGTGCTGCTACACGTAGTGAGAAAGTTAAGAAAAAAGAAAGAAAGGGAAATACTTAAATTAAGGGAAGTATTTAAAACTGGCCTCCAAAATTCAAAGAAGGGAAATCTAATCAACATGACCTTCAGTCTACCTGCATCAAAATGAAGAGCCTCAGCCCCTGACTTAGATCAGATAAAGTCCTTCTTTGTTCAGAATTACATTATTCTTCTCCTATTCCCAACACAAAAAGGGGAAAGGGGTTGTTGGAACCCACAGTTCTCTCTCTAGGGAAAAAGAAGATTGTGGATGTTGTCGTATACTTTTAATAGAAACCACCTTGCAGTTATGAAGTGAAGGTCTTCGCATGGCTCCCCTCCATGAAATTAGTTAGCTCCTTTGTGGTCTTAAGCCTTTTCTTGACTACTCTCTCGACATGGTGGACGTTTGAAGAATAATGGCAGCGTGTTTCTTCCCTTTTTGAAAGCAAAATAGGACATAAGGTTAACACATCCATTTCCTTTATTTAAAATAAAGCTGAAAACTATGGGAAAAAAACTGAAAATTCTGGCCTTACCTTCTCTGATAATATAATGATCACATCTTCTATGGCCATTACCTACGGAAAACACTCATATAGCAGTTGTTTTGGAGATACGTTGTTTTTGGGCTGAAGAATTGAGAAGTATAAGAAACATCTTGAAAAAAATGTTTCCTTTTTCAAGATGTTTCTGATGGATCTATGTGACTGCAGAGATAGTCAACAGAAACAGGGATCAGATGAGGTGTACCTTCAAAATTTGCTCTGTTTGCTTGGATATAACTGTTAAGCTCTGGATAATGTTGATATCAGCTTTTTTTTTTTTTTTTTACATTCAACCTCAAGAAACTTTTTTTAAAAAAACTAAAATAGAGTGCCATGCTTTTGTGGGTCTGAAAGAAAGTGCTCACCGCAATCTAGTGCCACTTGAGGGGTAACATGCATTCGTTATCACGCGTTGAGTGAATATTCAGTGAATATGCATCCTGTATGGTACATGCATGTTTTGCAATATGAAGCAATATACATTGGGGAAAATTAAGATCCCTTTCAGGGGACACAGCTGTATCCCACAGTGACAACCAGTTCCAGAGGGAATTGAGAAGGTCTGCCCATTCGCAAGGCCAACAGAGAACTTACTAAGAAAGTTGAGGAAGCTGGTCACGGTTGAATGTGTGAGCATTGTATACCTTGAATACATATTTATTAGTGAATAAAGAGTCTGTCTTCTGAGATGTAATATGAAAAATACAAATCTGCATTCATAACACAAAGACCAAGGAGAGAAACGTCTTCTGGGCAGCAATTTGGTCCGTGGCCTTCTAAAGACATGGTCTCCAAGGAAAGATGGAAGCAAGGTTTTGACTACAAAGGAGTAGACTGCTTAATAAAAGCTTTTTATTTGCATAAAGTGACCAAAAACAAACAAGAAAATCAGCAGCAGACCAAATTTCATAGGGTAAAGATCTAATGATGTGGTGATTGATGAGAAAAATACATACTTCAACCCAGGAGTGACTCTGAACCAGGGACACATTTGGAAGTTTGAGAAGATGTGGTGGACGACTTGACTTGCTTTTTCATAGCTACCATGGTAGTCAGGACAGTCACAGAGTACTTATTTCCCAGAAGGCAATCTACCTTCCCAAGATGCTCCCCACCTTCTCAGTGGGACTTTCGCTGGGCTTTCCAATAAATTGTTAGAGGGAGGCACTTTGATTGGAAGCCAGTGTGGTATAATGTGGTTCAAGTGATAGTCTATGACAGTGTTTCTCAACCTCAGCAACTTTAAGCTGTATGGACTTCAACTCCCAGAATTCCCCAGCCAGAGTTGCTGAGGTTGAAAAATACTGATCTAGGACCAGAAAGACCCAGGTCTGAGCCCACTCTTGGCCATGGGAATTTGCTGGGTGATTTGGGCCAGTCATTCTCCCTCAGCCTAGTCTATTTCATAGGTTTGCATGTGTAGAGATAAGATGAAGACTGAGCCCATGTAACTTGCTTGGAGTTCCTGGAGGAAAGGTGTGTTATAATTC